CCCAGGCCCCTGCCTCAGAGCATGTGACTCTGAAAGTCTGAGCAGGGTTTGGGGATGTGATTTGGTTGATGGACTGCTCGCTAAACATGCACGAAACCCCGGGTCCCATCTCAGCCGTCACAGATGTCAGGTGGAGCAGTGAATGCCCATTTTCTTGGTTCAAGGTTATTCTACATAGGGAGTTCAAGGCCAGTTTGGGATCTGTGGGCTAAAAAATGGCTCAGTGGTTATGAGAACCTACTGTTCCTACTGAGGGTCATAGTTTGCTTTTCAGTATCCAAGTCAGTTGGCTCTCAATTGCATATAACTCCAGCTCCAAGGGATCTGATGCCCTCTTCTGGTCTTCACGGGCACCCATACTCACATGTGCACAGACACTCCACATTAAAAATAACAATAATAAAAGTTTTTTTTTAAGTTTTGAATGGAGCTCAGAAATTAGCATTTTAGCTGTCACCCCAGGGGCTCTGTCAGTGAACATGGGCAGTACTTTGAGAAACCGAGTCATGCCTGACCATGTTGAAACTCTTTGAGTGAGGATCTCTGTGATAGCTGTGTGTGCACACAGCATGCTTCTATGTTTTCTCATTGCATAATGAAATTTAAAAAGATTTTCATTTTCTCTGTACTTTTAAATTTTTATAACGATGGTATAATTTTTTTTATAACTAGCAAAAACTATCAAGTGTTTCCCCCAGGTGGGAAAAACAGATATACTGTAGAGGAAATAATATATTTGAAATAAGTTTTGGAGAAATATGGCCATGGAGACAAAAGACCGCAAGCATGAAGGAATCTCTCTCTCTGTTTTAATTATATTTTTTAATTTTTGAGATTAATATAATTACATCTCTTCCTTTCCTCTCTCCAACCCCCCATATTCTCCTCCTTTCTCCCTTTAAATCCATAGCCTCTCTTTTCATTAATTGTTGTTGCATACATATATGCACACACAGAAAGATATGTTTTCCTAGATACATACAAACAATGTGCTTCTCACAGTCCTAGGAGACACTATTTATTTATTTATTTTGGTTTTTCGAGACAGGGTTTCTCTGTATAGCTTTGGAGCCTATCCTGGCACTCGCTCTGGAGACCAGGCTGGCCTCGAACTCACAGCACTCCGCCTGCCTCTGCCTCCCGAGTGCTGGGATTATAGGCGTGCGCCACCAACTCCCGGCCTAGATACAATTTAATAGCAAGCTCTGTGATCCTCTGGCTCTTAGACTCTTCCTGCCCCTTCTTCTGCCGTGTTCCCTGAGCCTTAGGTGCAGGGGTATTTTGTAGATGTATCCATTGGAACTGGGCTCCACAACTCTGCATTTTGATTGGTTGTGGTTTTCTGTAATAATCTCTGTCTATTGTCAAGAGAAATTTCCTTGATGAGGGATGAGGGCTGACCACACTTATATTTGAAAGAATCTGTTTTAACTCCCAGAACATGTCCCTTTCTCAGTGGCTACCAGCTCCCCCACACACGGGGCGGGGGGGGGGGGGGGGTGTCCCACCTTCCATTTTCAGATAATCTGTTTTTGGCAAGGCCAGAGGCAGAGTTGTATCTGGAAATTTGGGCCTGTGGCCTTGAGCTAAACAGCAGGGCCTCCCCTGTCTCCTGCCCCTCCTTTGCCTAGTCCTTGGGGTCCTGGGCCTGGTGAGTTCTCCCTCTGCCCCTCTGTCCCTCTGCCCCCCTGCCTGCTTCTCCTGTATCCCCACTGGCCAGGCAGAGCTGGGATGGCAATTTTACAGCGCTGTTATTACTTCATTGTTGCCTACATTGGGCCCCACAGCCACTCTGTGCGCAGGCCAGACCTTTCCAGAGAAACGGTTTCCTACACCTTTACAATGTGAGAGGAAAAAAGGGACCGTTGGATTTATGGAAACTATATAAAGTTTATGGAGTCTTGGCAGGCCTGAAGTAGGAATGCCTGTAGGAGGGGGCAGCACATTTTGAAATGGAGACTGCCATGCAAGTGCGCTGTGCCTCTGTCGAGACACCAGACAAAAATCCCTAAGCTCAGAGTGTGCTGGGTGAGCCAGGGGCCAGAGAAACTGGCCTGGAGGCAGCAGCTGACAGAGATGGTCTCAGGGTGACCTCATGCACCTCCATAGCATTCCTCAGAGGTAGGCATGGCAGTCCTCATTCTGTAGAGTGTGAACTTGGCCCAGGGATGGACAGTGTGACATGACTTGGTTGTGCTGGGCAGTCTGGGGCTCCCTCAGACCCTCTTCTGTGTATTGAGTTATGTGCCGCAGTTTAAACACTGAAAATAAGGTCTTCATACCCCGTTTCAATTTGGAACCTGTTGGCTATTTGCAGTTGTGTCTGACTGTCCCCTGCTAGCCATCAGTCATCACCATACCTTTCCTGTAGAAGATGATTTATGTTCAGGTTTGCCCACAGGGATTGTTGGGGACGGATGCAAAGCCACCTCAGGGTTGTCTCTGAATCAGAGCATGGTCTGAATGCACAGCCTTTGCCTTGAGGAGTCCCTCTGTGTCCCACCTCTCCTGTAGGGCCCAAGAAGAGTGCCCTATGGACTGCAAAGTCACCTTTCCCCACCTCTGTCACCCTCAGCTCTTCTAATCCTACTTCCCTTTTATTTGTACCGTGTGCTACCTTTGTTTCTCTCTTCTACTTGTCTGAATTCCTGGAGTGCTTAATTTCTCATTGCTGGTTTTGCCCAGAGGGCCTGGCATCACTCCAGTGTCTAGTAACCCTTGTATAAATATCAGCTAGGAGTATGGATTAGTGGATGGATGGATGGATGGATGGATGGATGGATGGATGGATGGATAGATGGTTGAGTAGGTAAGTAGATGCCAAGTAGGGCAGGTAGATAGGTGGGTGGGGTAGGTGGATGCTGGATGAATAGACAGATGGAAGAATGGTAGGAAGTAAATGATTGGTTGGATGGATGAATGATCAGAGTAGGTTATGTGGTTGTGGATCTGTGGTAGATGTGTAGATGGGTAGGGCGTGTGTAGACCGACAGACACACGTTCATATTTGCACCCCACATGCAGTTAAGCTGTGAGTTCTCTCTCAGTCTTCTTGCTAAATGCTTTTTTGTTTCAGGGGCTACACTTTGCTCTCCCTGAGGCCAGCTGGAGAAGCAAGCCTGGTTGTTTGAATGTGTGTGTGTAAATACTTTACAACCCCCATAAACTTGTTTAAAGACAGATGGGGGTGAAAGTATAAACTCGGGCAGCCTTTGGGGAGGGCAGTTTGGAAGTGGCTATTAAAATTTTAAATGTGCCTACCACTAAGACCCAGCAGCCCCACTTTGAGCTGTCAGGGTTGGAAAATACATTCACACACTTGTATACAAAGAGCTGTGTGCTGGGGTGCTGGTGCAAGGCTGCACACTGGTGTGCCACTCCTGTTGGTGGCAGATTAAAAGTAGTCACAATGTCCATTGAGCAGGGGATGACAACCCAGTGAGTACCCTGGAAAACTTCAGCCACCAGAAAGAACAAGCTAGATCTATGTCCTGAGGCAGACAGTTCTCAATTGGTGCTTGAGATTGGGCCACCCCAGCTCTCAGGACTCTCTGGGATGCTGGGACTCAGTCACTTCAGCAAGTGCCTCCTGTCCCGACTCTTATTTCTGTCAACCGTTCCTTTCCCTCTCCAGGAAGCACAGCCTGCCGGGATCAGAGCTTTAAATCTCATGCCTACTTGTCAGTGGCCTTCTTTAGAAAAGGAGACGAATGAGAGAAAATAGTTACATGCGTAATTACTGTCTGCTGGCTCTTCAATTAAAAAGCATGAGAGGCACAATATTAAAATCTGATTTATGGGTGCCACTATCTACCTAATAATGTGTCCAAGAGCCAAAAAGGCACTGTAGTCATTATGGAAAAGTGAAGCCTTTTTCTCTGGCAGCAGACAAATTGGCTCTCATTTTCTCCTTGCTAAAGGAGTAGGAAATATTTTCTGGCATCTATAGTATGTTCTTCTACTGTGCTGAAAATCCAGAACGTAGTAATCTGGGAGTAAATTGGAGTTGTCTGGCTCAGCCCCTTAGGGAAGTTTCCTGAGAGGCATGGTGGCTGGACACCAAGGTGGCAGCCATGCACCAGGATATAGATTCTGGTGCTATGACCCTCAGAGGAACACCACCTAGGTCTTTGATGGGTTTGAGATGGCTAGAACCACAGAGCTCAGGAGGGAGTGGGCAGAAGTGGGGGCATTTAGCCTCAGCTTATGTATTTGTAAAGTATGTGTGTGTATAAAACATGTGTGTACATATATAAAATATGGGTCAATGGTCATGTATAAAACATGTGTATATAAAATATGTGTGGGGTGTGTATGAAACGTGTGTGGGTAGGTATGTGCCTACCCAGGTATGCACATGTGGAGGCCAGAGGTTGTTCTCCATCCTATTTGAGGTACAGTCTCTAACTAAACTCCAGGCTTTCTGTACCATCTAGGCTGGCTGGCCAGGGGGACCCAAGGATCCACTGTTCTCTGATTCCTCAGACTGGAGTTGCAAAGACACACTGCTGCACCCAGCTTTTACATAGGCACCGGGGAATTGAACTCAGGTCTTCATGCTTACAGAGCAAGCATTTTACCCACTGAGCCGTCTCCCCAGGTCCCACTCAGTGAATTTCTTAAAAGTCATTGTTGCTGTTACAGGTTATTGGGAGAGCTGGAACTGAACACACTTCCCGTCTCCAGGGTAACAGCTGATGTGGAAGCAGACCTGAGATGATTCCCAGCTCGGCTTCCCTTTGTGCATCTTTAGGACAGTTTCTCCTTAGCGGGGGCAAGGGTGGTAAGGCCTACAGTTTCATAAACAGATGAACAGAACTAGCCCAGAACATAATGGATGGATGGCAGTGACCTGCACAATTAGCACTTCTTACTAAGAAGCATCGTGGGAACGTGCTGTCCCCATGGTTTGGGGGGGAGGGGCTAGGCAGCAGGTACCTGCAGAACCTTATATTCTTGGTTCTAAAAGTAAAAGCCACTGAAGCTGGGCATGGTGACACATGCCCATAATCCAAGAACTCTGGAGACCAAGGCAGGAGAGTCCCGAGTTGGAAGCCATCCTGGACCCTATCTCAAAAACACCTGCAAAGAAAAAACGACTGTATTGCCGTGAGGTTCAGGACCCCCAGGTTCCCTCCATGAACCTGGGAATGGGCCCCTCATCCTCAGCTTGCTGAGCAGAGGTGGGGATGGGAGAAAGGTCTAAATGCAGGAAGCTGGAAGCTGACAAGACAGGAAGTCTGACCCTGAGACTGGGAGACTATTTCTCTAACACCCCAGCACATCCCAGAGTTCCCATCCCAACCCCTAATCATTGTCTCCATCCCAGCCTGGGATTGAGCCAGAGGTGCTCTGGGATTAGAGATGCCCTTTACTATGTCTGGCTTTCCCTGGGTTCTGGGCATCTTAATTCTGGTCCTCATGCTTGCCTGGCAAGGGCTTTGCCCACTGAATCATCTCCCCAACCCACGGCTCTGGATCTCTACCTCTAGTCAGCTGCGTGGATTCAGTGTCCTGTGTGACCATTGAGTTTCCCACCAGAGCTTATTCACCGTACAGCCAGGTGGTTGGACATTCAAAATCAGTCTGGATTCATGGGCTGCTTAGAGGCTCAAGCTTGGGCTGGAAAGCTGGGATCAGGTGCTACATAAGGCCCTGGTGGCCCCCTTCTGTGAGGCGTTCTGCTTATGCCAGGGAACCCTGCAGGGTCCAGTCTGCCATCTGTCTGCATGGAATCTTCCTGGGAAGGGAGGGTAACATTTTGCCCATATTTCTTCTGTGCCCTGGCTAATGGAATTTCTTTGTTTTCAGTTGAGAGGGAAAATGTGCAGAAGAGGACTTTTACACGATGGATAAACCTACACCTCGAAAAGGCAAGTGGGGTCTGGGAGCATTCGCCTGTATTCGCCTGGAACTGCACTGATGGTTCTGTAGAGAAGGAAGAGAGGAGAAAAGGGACGAGCAGGTAAACAAGGCTCAGTGAGAAAAGGAAGGGAAGCCTGTAGGAGTGCAAGCTCCCCCCACTGTGAGGCTGGACCTGTGGCCCCCGGGAATATAATTGTCCTAAGTTTCCTGAGGCTGCAGGAAAAAAATACACTTCTCCATTTTTAACAAAGCTATGGAGATGAGGGTGGGGAGCAGTTGGTAGAGTGCTTGCTTAGCATACACAAAGCCCTTGGTTTCACCCCCCCCAGCCCTGCAAAAGCCAGGTGTGGGGTACACACTTGTAATCCCAGCAACTTGGGAGGTGGAAGCCGGAAAATCCGAAGTTCAGGGTTGTCCTTGGCCAGCCTGGGCTACATGAGACTACTTTTGGAAAAAAGCTGGATGATTTGATGCTTCTTGTACCAACACCACATCTTCTCCTTGATGGACACTCTCCATCCACACCAGTCTCCCCTGACTTCAGGAAGCTTGCTCTACCCCCACTGTAGGAAATTTCAAGCGTTTTTCTCCTCTTCAAAGCATAACCATTGATGGCCCGGAGTAGTGGTTGTCAACCTGTGCGTCACACCCCCCCAAAGGGGTTGTCTAATGACCTTTTCACAAGGGTCACACATCAGATACCCTGTATATCAGAACAGCAGCAAAATTACAATTATGAAGTAGCAGTGAAAATAATTTATGGCTGGGGGTGACCACAACACGAAGGTCTGTATTAAAGGGTGACAGAGTTAGGAAGGTTGAGAACCACTGGCCTGGAAGAAACCAATGCAGTTACTGGAAAGCAGGAAGCAGAGCTCCCGACGACTGAAGCAGTTCACTTTTACACTTGACTACATCCTGGTCGGGCACATGTGTCCCTTCCCTACTGTCCCGTCCCTTTGTCAGAGTGGGCAACATGACGCTGTCACATCACCCATGAGCCTCTTGGACATGAGATAGAAAATGACAAGGGATCACACTTGAAGCTTGATAAATCTTTTGCTGGTTGTTTTGACTGTGGGCACATTTTTGACATTGCTCTTAAAGTGAAACATTACTAGGGTTTGGGGAGCACAAAAAAGGAAATCCAGTCCCCAAATCTGAGCTTGGAGAGCCCCTAAATTAATGCCTGCTGCATGTCAGTCTGCTTGAAAATTCCAAGAAGGGGACAGGGTAGAGCCAGAAAGTCTTCCTTTCTTTGTTTTTCTAGGAAAAATAAATAAATACTGAAAAAAGCAGAGAATCGGGTAACAAATGCCCCACACTTACCTGCCACCCAGTGTGAACCTCTTTGAACATGCATTTGTCATGTCAAGGACATTCTCCTCAGCCAGGCCTGCCCTTGCCCCTTTTGGGGGGTGGGCAGGTAGGTAGCATATAGCACCCATTCTGAGGATAAATCAGACTGCACCTGAGAGCGGTGCGTAATAAGCAGAGAGAAATTAACGGCCCTGTTTCCAGCCCCGAGACTTTTAAAAACAACCTTTCAAGCTAAGGAAACCTAGGAAGTCCTTGGTGAATTGGGCTTAACTGCAATTTGAAGGCTGTCAGGAATATTTACTGAGTCTCTGGCTTCTGGAAAAATTCCTTAATTTACAGAAGGAGTTCGATCATGCAGAAAGCCCTGGGGAGGTGAGGGGTACTGTGGTTCCGGCCATAGCAGACTCCCGAAGCCTGGGGAATGTTGGTCCAGGGAGTGTTTGGGCTGGAGTGGTTTCAGTCTAACCTCCTGCCATCCAGCGGTGGACTCTGGCCAAGGTCATGTTTGATGCAGAGGCCCTTCCAGGAACAGCCATGGAAATTAGCCTCAGGTCAGGCTCTACCCCTGTCAGGCGGCTAACTGGAAATTTTGTTAGCCCATTCATCAGGGGTGTTTTGTGGGGGTCTCTTGAAAGGAAGCAGTCTGCCAGGCCTGGAATGTGGCTGAGGTTACAGGATTTGCAAAGAAAATACATTGCCTTTGGTTCAAACTCACTGAAGCCCTCACGGCAGTGCTCTTTTTGGGGGCACCTGTAGGTGGCCTCATCCTATATTTTAGCTAATTGGGCAGGGGACTGGGATACATATAAAGGGTGAGGAAATGCCACCTTCCTTAAACAGTAAACACAGTAAAACACAGGCCCACCAAGGGGTCACAGAAGGAAGGAGGCTTTCCCAGAAGAGAAGGTGCTCGCTGAACTAACATTATGTTGAGATTTTCCTCATCCCTGGGTGTGTGCCACTGCCCAGTTAGCTAGGGGCACTGCATGCTGTTTCCCATTGTCCCTGAGGGTACATGAAGCATCCAGTCACTCCCTTAACCTGGACAAAAGGTAAGGAGGAACTCCTGCCAAGGCTGCAGGAGCTCAAGAATGCAGGCTTCTGATCCTCTGTTGCATCAATCTCCATTGCATGCATTGCAACTGTTGAAGGTCAAATGCAGGAAACAGGATTTGAGCCTTCATTTCCCCTAATCTGAAGTGAGGGCTTACACTAGGTTATTTCCCATGAGCCCTAACAGAATGTGTGTGTGTGTGTGTGTGTGTGTGTGTGTGTGTGCGAGTGTATGTTGTGTCTTGATAGGCGTGTTGACATGTGTAGAATATGGGTTCATGTGGAGGCCAGAGGTTAACTTCAGGTGGTGTTTCTAAGAAGCAATCCACCTTGTTTCTTCAGACAGTGTTTGTTACTGGGACTGGGTCCCACTGATTCAGCAAAGCTTCAGGGGTCCTCCCATGTGGACCTCCCACCATTGGGATAACAGATTTTTTTTGTGGGCACTGGGGAGTTGAACCCAGGTCCTCATGCTTGTGCTGAAGCAGACACTTTATCAACTGAGCTATCATCACCTTGGACCCAAAATTCCTTTATGCTTTGGAAGCCTATGGGGGATGGCATTTCTTTCTGTCCTTAAAAAGAAGCCTGAATGAATGTGATCCAGTCTTGGGGGCTGAGATCTCATGTTAGGTGGGCCTCCAAAGCCACTTACTCAGTTTCCTGTTGCTGAACCCCTTATACAGCTCTTCTGCTAAGCTGCCTGACACCTGCTGGCCAGAGGCCCCTTCCAGGGCTTCTCATCCTCAGATGGTCTTTCTGCCTGCAAGTTTCTCACTCTCTTTTTTTTTAAATTAACTTTATCTTATGTGCATTGGTGTGAATGTGTCAGATCCCCTGGAACTGGAGCCACAGACAGCTGTGAGCTGCCATGTGGGTGCTGGGAATTGAACCTGGGTCCTCTGGAAGAACAGCCATTGCTCTTAACCTCTGAGCCATCTCTCCAGGCCTGCAAGTTTTTCTCTTGAGCAAGAACTGCATAGTGAAATAGTACTGTTGATCACCCAGGTCACTAATTAGTTTCTTCTTTTCCTCCTGTCCCACAGTGTGATCCACCTCTAGAAGTTACAGACCTTTTCATTGATATCCAAGATGGCAAAATCCTAATGGCTTTGCTAGAAGTCCTCTCGGGACGAAATCTGGTATGTCTGTTGGGAAAAATGCAAAAGGAAGTACTTCCAAAGGCTTTATCTTCATTGGGGCTTCAGTTTTTCATCACTGTGCCAGAGTGCCCAAGTCAACTATTCAAAGCAGGAAGGGTTTGTTTGGGCTCATACGTGCAGAAGTGGCTGTGACTACCTGGTCCTGTTGCACTGGGCCCGAGAAAAGACAACACATCACAAGAATGTTCAGCAGGAAGCGTCTCGTCTCATAAAAGAAAGGGACCAAGGGATCCCGATATCATCCTCAAGGGCACATCTCCAAAGACCTAACTTCCTCTCACCAGGCCCCAGCCCCTAAAGGTTCCATCACCAGCCTGTAGCCCCTTACACTATAGCTAGTATGTTTAGGCCAATAGCACCTGGAACTTTCAGTGTGTAGGTCTTGGGGGAGTCATCCCAGAAGCAACCATGACATTGGGTATAAACGTATGCACACATCCAGACAGAGTATAAGTCAGTATCAGGAAATGCTGAAGGGTGACGTTCCTTTATCACATGAGGTAGGGGACTGATGAGATGGCTCAGCAGCTAAGAACACTTCCTGTTCTTCCAGTGGACCTGAGTTCTGTTCCCAGCACCCACAGCAGACAGCTCATGATGGACTTCTAACTCCAGCTCCAGAGGGTCCCAGCACTCTTCTCTGCCCTCTGAGGGCACCTGCACACATAGGACAGTCACACATGCACAAACAAATTTAAAATAGTGACACTGAGAGCTGGAGAGATGACTCAGAAGTTAAGAACACTGGCTGCTCTTGCAGAGGACCGAGGTTCAATTCTCAGCAACACATGGCAGCTCACAACCATCTGTAACTCCAGTTCAAGGGTATCTGATGCCCTTTTGTGGTCTCTGCAGACACTACTCACATGGTACACATACATACATGCACTCATATACATAAAATAAAAATAAGTGACTCTTAAAAGAAATAAGTGATATGAACATATATAACTGAGTAGTATCTGTTTTTTATTATTATTTTATTATTGTGTATTTATGCACACATGTGTGTAGTGTGTTCATACAGAGGTCAGAAGGAAATTTGAAGAAATTAAGTTCTTTCCTTCCACCGTGATGGAAGGAACTCAGGTCATCAGGCTTGCGTGACAAGCCCTTTTTTGCCTGTTGAGCCATCTTGCTGGCCCATATCTTTTTCAGTTTGTTGTTTGTTTTGAAAGTAACCCTATTTTAGTAGGCAAATAAGTAAATGAATGTCCTGTGTTTTCAGTGAGCCTGTGATGGCTAAGAACTGAAACTGAAGGATCAAGTTACCTGACTAAGCATTGTGCTAACCAGAGTTACATCTGAGAATTAGGCAGAGCCATCCATCCCATGGGCTGTTGGATGAGAATAGGTAGCCTCTCAATGCTAGGAGCACCCATTAGTGTAATAACCAAATATCTTCCCAAGCATTTCAGATATGCTCCCCCACACCCTGGTGCCCAAGGTGGCAGATGATCCAGTCTAAGATGCCAGTCATAGGGGCTGGAGAAATGGCTTAGCAGTTAAGAGTGATTATGGCTCTTGCAGAGGGCTGGAGTTTGATTCCCAGGGACACGTCGGGTGGCTCACAACTGCCTGTAACTCTAGCCCCAGATGATCCCAAGCGCCCCTCCAGCCTCCACTTCCGTTGGCATCTACATATGTGTGCACACACTCACGTGAATAAAAATAAGATTTTATAAAATGCCAGATGTGTTTGAGAAACTGGCTCATGCTTGAGTATTTGATTTGGCCTCGGTGGCCCTTTGTGCTCGTGTGAAAGTGCAGTGACTGGCTTGGGACCTGACTTTAAAAGCATAACTTCTCCCTCAGCACGGTGCACACTCCTTTAGTCCCAAAACTCAGGAAGCTATGAGATGGAGGCCAGCCTGGTTTACATGGTGAGTTCCAGGACAGCGAGGCTGTTACACAGAGAAACCCTATCTTGAAAACAACCAACAACCAACAAACGCTACTTCTCTTCTCAGATCCGTGGGGTTGAGGCCTGTCATACCTATTCTCACAGAGTAGAAGATGCCAGTGAGTGCACTCAGGGGCAGGAAGCTGTGCAAAGCAGTGAGACATCCTCAGCAATCTCAGTGAATAAGCTGCAGCCTCCCCCCCGCCCCAAAGGCTTCGTAAGAAAGCACATTCTGGCCCCTCGTTCTATGTTCCTGGTAGACAGACTCGCACTTTGAAGCCAGGACACATGGCAACAACCTCCGTGGCCTTGGCCTTTGACCCTGCAGCTCAGCAAACAAGGGTCCTCCACTGGCCATTGTGGAACACAGCAGGTCCTTTCTGGTGGAATTGGCATGTGTGTTCTCTGGAGATGAGCTCATCTCATCTGTACTCCATGCAGAACTCACGCTGTTGGGAATGGGGCTGTAGCCCGTTGCTGATTTCTATGTATTCTCCCCCGAGCTGCCTCTGAAAAAGTTCTTAGCCAGAAACCAGCCACATCTGCTGCTGCCCCTGGGGAGGCTGAGCCGAGAGGTGATGAGGACACCAGGCTCGCTTCCCCTAAACAAAGAGTCACGTGTGCTGTGAGAGCATGCTACTGCAGGTCCCTAGAGAGAGGGAGGCAGGCTGGAGAGAACACTAGACACATTTGTCCCATGTCCAGACTCACCAGCACCAGTGAGCCAAGTCCCGGTGGCATTTATTTGGATGCCTCCTGTGTGGGTGTTTTCAACACTATCCCTAACCTTCTCCAAAAGCAAGTTATAAAGGAAAGGCACCCATTGGGGTCCTGGGGTGCTATCTTGCCGGCACCTGCTTAGTGGTGTCTTCTCTTGTTTTCCAGCTGCATGAATACAAATCCTCATCACATCGTATTTTTCGGTTGAACAACATAGCAAAAGCACTTAAGTTTCTGGAAGATAGCAATGTAAGTGTTTGAAGCCCATCTCAGCAACACAAGCTTGCCCTGGGGAGGAGAAAGGGCAGAATTTGAAGATTGGTATGGGAAGTGTGGGAAGGCTTAATAATGGCAATAGCCTATCTTTCCCAAGCTTAGGGTGAAGGAAGTCACTGAGAGTCCCAGGACGCCCCAGCGTCCTGCCCACCCTGTTTGTGCCTTCTAAGAAAGGCCGGCAGCTGGTTGGTCCCAGAGCTTTGGGACTGATGGCTAGAATATAGTTTTCTATTGAAACTTGAGGACATGTCAGTGTGGCAGCCTGGCTCTGTCATAGAGATTTCTTGATCTGCATCTGGAACTGTTTCTTGTTATTCACAGGTGGGAATGGGAGGCCCGGGGTGACATCTCCAAAGCCTCCTTCCACTAGGTTAGTTTCTGGACTGATCTGGGTGAAAACAGTCTTCGGCTTGTCTGGCCCTTTGGCAGAGTAAAACATTATCCCAAGGGGCAGGTCCTTTGAGGTTGTGTGTAAGAAAGGCAGTCGTGTGCTGTCTAAGCAGAAAGGGAACTGGGTGAAGGATGTCCAGTAGCTCATGAGGGGACCCAGGGGATCGAGGATGGAGCCTGGGGAAAGCTGGATCATCTCAGAACCTGCTGAAGGGTGGGGGCAGGTGTGACCCTGCTTTCCTGCCCTGCTGCTCTGGCTGTTGTCATCGAGCCTGGGGAAGGTGCTCACTACTGCAGCGTCATCCCAAGCGGAATGATGTGGATGACAAACCTGGGGCTGAGCCACACCCAGATACGAGTGGAGTGGGGAGCACACAAGTGGAGGTGACATCTGTCTCCTTGTCACCACACAGTAGAGAAAGTCCTGGATGCAAAAGGTTCAGATGATGGTGACCACAAAACACCCCAGTGCACCTGATATCAGAGCCTAAAGGTGGAAACAGACCAGGAATTTATCAGGTGACAGTTGGATCAGCACCCGCCCCCGGGGAATATTACTTGGTTGTGAAAAATAATCTGGTACTGGGGTGTGTTATGGCGTAGGACCTCAAGCACAGTATACTGAGTGACAGAGGCAGGCAGACAGACATGAAGAGTGCTTCTTAGACGACTCCATCCACGTGGAATTTCTGTGACGGGGAAATGGCTTTAGAGGAAGTAGGTTAGTGGTGGCTTGGGCCTCATCTCAGTGAAGCCATTTAAAATATAAGCCCTTCCCAGATTCACTAAAGGGCTCCCTCTGTGGGCTCAGGGATACTGTCAGCCTCTACTTGAGCCAGAATCATCCTTGCCTTCGTGTGACTACCCACCTTCCCTCTTATTTATCTTTTTATAACAATACTTAGACAATAACATCCCATTGTGGATGCATGTTAGCTCAGTGCCTCATTTGGCTCCATTTCCCAGGCAGGGGGATGATGACTTAGGAGGAAGATGGTGACAGAGAGGGGACAAGATAACCCCCCTCCCAGAGGCATGCTGTGTCCCATTCCCAAAATACACAGTTACTTAGGGAACCTTATTTGTCCCACTTTGTGCCAGTGCCCGGATCACAGGAAGGGCAGGTCTTGGTTGCTCTGTTGGGTCCTTGGTGGCAGTGCCCAGAGCTGAGTAGGAAACAGGTATAAAAAGCAACCAAACCTGCTGTTCTGGGGCCCTGGGACCAGCCAGTGTGCACCTTCCCCTCCCCTCAACTATGGGGTACATATAGCCTCCCCATGGGACTAGTTCTGGGACCCCCGGTAAGTTACTTAAACTAACCCTTGGCTTTGTCACCTTTGAAACGGGGACATTGAGAGCACTGTAGGAACTAACTTGGGAAGCCATTGTCACAAAGGCTTCTGAGTCACTTCTCTGAACCCGTCAACTCAGAGGACAGAAAGGGTGGTCCCATAACCCAGTGGGCTCATTGGTATTCAGTGTGGCAGAACAAGCTGAGTTAGGGGGAAGAGAAGGGGACACTGTCCCTGGAGATCTGAAAGATGGTGATTGTATTGTCGGTCCATCACCGAGGATGGAAGGAGGCTCTTTCCTCCAGGGGACACTGCACACTGAAGATGAGGATGACAGTCCCTTAAGTACTTGTGGTTCACCGGACTGGAATGTTCTATAGCCTGCAAACCAGAGGGTGTTTCCAGAAAGGACTTGGGGGCAGGAGAACAGACAGGAGTCTCAACAAGTGATTGTTTATGTGGCATAAGTGGTGTGGAAGAGCAGGGACTGAATATTGGCTCTGAGTTTGATGGGTTGAGTTCCTCTCGGTATTGACAACTTCCTTCCTGGCCTCCCCTAGTCAGCCGGCGATGAGCCCGTGTTGTCTCAATTACCTTCTTGGCAGCAGCTGTGAACGGCCCATCAACCAGGGAGCTAGGCAGTCAGTCTCGATTAGGCTACCCGAGGCCTAACTGGTGTTGTCAGAGCCCCCCAATAAACCGATAAGATTAGAGACCTGAACCAAAGCAGTTTAAAGACCCATGATGGAGAGGGAGAGTGGAGAGAGGAAACTGCTGTATGACAACTTCTCTAGGTTTTTCCTTCCCCCAAGTGTCCTGGGATAAAGTGTGCAGTGTGGGTTTTAAAAGGTTGCTCTGAGTAGCTCACTTCATCCCCCTTGCCCCTGAAGACAGCTATGCACATTTGTGAAGTGTTGCTCGACAAGGAGAAGAAACAGAAGAGAGACCTGTGGGCCTGCACAGCCTCGCTCACCCTGCTCGCCCCGCTCGTACCCTGCTCACTCTGTGGCCCTTTCCAGAGAGGCTGGCAGAAGTTGGAACCTCAGACTCAGATGCTGTTTGCAGAATGAAATGATGGATGTAGGCGCTGACCCTCCATCCTGAGCCCACACAGGAAACCTTGTGTTTGTTAAAATGCAGAATGGGCTGAGCAGGATGGCTCAGTGGGTTAGGGGGAAAGCCCTTGCTGCTTAAGACGACATGAGTTCTGATACTTGATAGCCAAAACTTGTATAAAAAAATACAGGTGCAGTAGTTTATGTCTGTAATGCCAGTCCCCCTGCCTGGTTGATACAGAGACAGGGAGACACCTAGAGCTTATTGGCCAGCCGGTGTAACCAAATCAGTGAGTTCCAGGTCCAGTGAGAGACCTTGTCTTAAAAAGAAAAATCAGGCGAAGAGCCGGGCATGGTGGCACACTCCTTTAGTCCCAGTACTTAGGAAGCAGAGGTAGGCTGATCTCTGTGTTCAAGGATAGCCTGGTCTACAGAGTGAGTTCTAGGCCAGCCAGGGCAACATAGTGAGACCCTGCCTTAAAGAAATACATAAAATAAAATAAAAAAGTAAATAAATAAAAATTTAAAAATAAGGTGGAGCCTAGTAGAGGAAGAAGAGGACAGCAATCTCTAGCCTCCACATGTACAGAGATGAAATGCAGACTGTGGCTGTCGGGGAAATGCACCTCCCTGACTAGGCCCTGGGATGCTGCAGGTTGAGGGGCTGCAAGTAGCTTTAGGGCTCCACCAAGAACATCTTCGTGTGGTCAGACACAGATGAAATGAACGAGTCACCTCTGGGTGGTTTCTCGGGCTGGCACGTTATAGCCAGTCTATAGAGCGTTCTGTATAGACGCACAGTTCCTTGCTGTGGTGTGCTCACTATTTCTGTCTTTCTGATGGCTGATGTTGGTGCTCTGAGTTGGTCGAGGGTGTGCTAAATCAGAGGTTTGATGGCATTCATGTGGCAGGCAGCCTTCCTGAGCTATCACCCTCTCTTTGGGGAAGAGAATGGTGGGAACTTTGCACACTTTATGGCTCTGGGAAGGCTGCATTTAGCTTTCCGATTGCCCCGCCCCCCGCCCCCCGACACAGAGTGGTAAGGGAAGTGCCTACATGATAGGCTTGTGGCTGGGTAAACTGAGTACTCATAAGTGCTTGTAAGGCTTTAGGGTGTCCACCCATGGTAAGCACTATGTATGTTTTTATCAAATACAGTTTTACATATTGGGTGTCCCCCAAGAGGTGGTCCATGGCAATGACAAATAGCACCAGGCAGTCAGCAGCATCTGGCTTTGGACAGCAGATGAGACTCTTGAGAGTTTTGTGCTCATCGCTGCTCATCTTTCCAGGTCAAGCTGGTTAGCATCGATGCGGCAGAAATTGCAGATGGCAACCCCTCACTAGTCCTCGGGCTGATATGGAACATCATTCTATTCTTCCAGGTAAGCCCACTGCTCTGGCACGCGGTCGGTCATCGTGTTGAACGTTGCGCTAATCACAGAACAGCACACACATGTAAGGGACACTGTGAGACATAGTTGCCATGGATTCAGACTTCTCCGTTTTCTGGATGAGAACCAGGAAGGGAAGGTTTACAGGGCACTGGGGTTGGCGTTGTCCAGAGGCACTTGTGCAAGCACCGTTTGGAGCTGTGGGTCCCTTTCTGTATATGCCTTGTACTTGAGTCTCAGTCCCCACATCTGTGAATGCAGTAATGGCCACAAGACATGCTGTGTGTGAGTGCTTTGCCCGCTGCACCAAGTTTACAGGTCGGATGGACAGGGACAGTGAAACTTGCAGGAGCACGGTTCTGGGAGTGCCAGGTTATAGGGGAACAGAACAGATAGTGTCTGCTCAGGATGAGTGTGTGTGCCTAGGCTAGTAAGAGCTACGGGAATCTCAGGAGAAACTTCTCACATACTGAGAGCCAGGTCTACCCAACCTGGAGTCTCTAACCAGAGTCTCATGAATGCAAGTCAGAGGAGCCCACTGGCCAGGAGTCCCTATGGGTCACTGGGTCTGATTTGCCTGGGTCAGTGGATCTGATTTGCACTTTTCTCTCTAGATAAAGGAGCTCACGGGCAACCTCAGCAGGGGCTCCCCATCTTCCAGCTTGTCACCTGGCTCGGGGGGCACAGACTCCGACTCCTCCTACCCACCTACCCCTACCACGGAGAGGAATGTGGCGGTATCAGTGAAAGACCAGAGGAAAGCCATCAAGACCATGCTGGCATGGGTGCAGAGGAAAACAAGGAAGTAAGCTGCAGTCTCCACCTCCCCAACCTATTCCCTGCCTTAGGCCCACTGGTGTCCACCATGGGTGTGCCACACCCGACAAGGCTGTTTCCAGACCTGGGTGTGTAAAGTAGATCAAATTCCATCTGCAAAGGTGCCAGGTGTCCACGGATCCTGCGCTTCACGTAAACCATCAGAACAGGAGTATGATATGCTTTTCCAGTCTGTGTGTGGTGTGTGCATGTGAGTGTATGGGGCACACCCACACATGCACACATAGAGTCTAGAGAAAGCATGGCGTGTCTTCCTCTACTGTTCTCCATCTGATTCTCTTACGACAAAGTCTTTCACTGAATCAGGAGCTTGCCATTTCCACCAGGCTGGCCAGCAAGCTCCTGACATCCTCCGGTCTCTGATCCTCAGGGATAGGCTACAGCTATGCCTGGATTTTTGTGTGGGTGCTGGGGATTCAAACTCAGGTCCCCAGGTTTCTACAGTAAGCATTCTTACCGTTTCCTAAGCCCAGTTATAGCAGTCTTCCATCAGGCCTTTTTCTGGAAGATCTTGGGCCTTAGTCAGAGGTGCCAGGTTAGTGTAGAGGAAGCCACACCCACTCAGGGTCATTCCAGATCCTCCGTGTTCAGCCTAGGGGATAGTTGCTGGTGCCTCACTTATTTGTTCGTTTCCCCTGCTAAGTGGTGACATCATTCACTGCCTTCTAAGACAGTCATGACAGACTCGGGGAGAGCAGCTTGCACCTCTCCTAACAGCCACTTGATACATTTCTGCATACCTCCCAGGGGTTAGGGAGAGGCTAGACCCTTGGGGGGTTGATGGAGGGAAATGGAGGGAGTTGAGTGTGAATGATTAGAATAGATTACTGTGAAAAAAGGAAATGTTTAAAAATAAATCAAGACAAAGAGTTCATTGCCAGGGGCCAGCGCGAGTGTGAAAGAGAGAGCAGCTGGGGAGATGGGAACATTCTGTGGCCCCACTTTGGGTACCCATGTGTCCCTGCACTTAGGCAAGTGCATGTGGCAGCTGGTGACTTTGGCTTGGTTTACAGCCTTCCTGAAGATTGTCTAGATGACAGTTGGGGTCCCTGGCTTTGAGAATGTACTTTGCGCAGGTCCCATGGGCCAAGGCTTGAAAGAGCGCTGCCTAGAGGGTTTGTAACCTGTTGGGAATCTGAAATTATTTCTACATTGGAAGCTATTAGATTTTTGTTAATTCCATGAGCATAATAAGAAATGAAAGAATGAAGTCTAAGGAGAACCCACGCCTGGCATGATTCTCTTTGCCCCTCACTTTGAATGTTATGGTTTTAGGGCTGGGGAGATGGCTCAGTGGTTAAAACACTTGCTGGGCAAGTGTGAGGAACAAAGTTCATATTTCCAGCATCCACAGGTTTGGCAGCCCATCTGTAATACCAGAGCTCATAAAGCTGAGACAGAGGGATCCCCCAGGGCAAGCTGGATAGCCAGACTAGTCATGTCAGTATGCTCTGGGTTCAAGCAAGAGACCTGGCCTCAGTGAATACAATGAAGGACAATTAAAAAAGATTCCATGATGTCAGTCTTCAGCTTCCACACACGTCCTTGTCCCCCTTTCCCCATCCTGCCCCCCGCCAGCCCCACATGTACACACACACACACACACACACACACACACACACACACACACACACACACGAGGGGGGAAAAGTTGTGATTTTTTATGTATTCATAATGGCTGACACTTTTTGTATGGCTTTTGTATTCCTGCTTTATGCACTAAGTTCACTTTTAGACGAGACCATTCTTGTGGGAACTTCACACTTCCCTATAACAGTACCCCACGAGGTCATCCTGTATCCACCCTGTTTTATAACTAAAGTGTCAGAGGCTCAGAAAGGGTGAGTGCCTGGCCAAAACCACAGAGCCAGAAGTATAGAGGGGCAGCTGAGATAGGAACTTGAATCTTCCTGGCTCTATTAGAGAGCACATCCCCATGTGTCCCGTTTTCATCATCATCCATGATGTGAGCCGTGTAAAAATCTCTCCTTTATGTATTTAGAGACTTGGGAATAGAGGGATTGGTTGCCTTTTTAGATATCATATACCTCCTGCTCCATTTGGAAAATGCTCAGGGTGGCCCTCATGGTGGTCAGGGCCATGGTGTCTTTGCAGGGTGAGATGAACAACACCCAGCCCCCTCAGGTCAGCGAGCCTGCTGGGTATAGATCTCCTCTTTATGTTCCTTTACTAACCTGGGTTGTTGCTGTCCCTGCTACTTTCCATCAGGTATGGTGTGGCGGTCCAGGACTTCGCGGGCAGCTGGAGGAGCGGGCTGGCTTTCCTGGCTGTCATCAAAGCCATTGACCCCAGCCTGGTGGACATGAAGCAGGCTCTGGAAGATTCCACCCGGGAGAATCTAGAGAAGGCCTTCAGCATTGCACATGATACCCTACACATTCCCAGGCTCCTGGAGCCCGAAGGTACAGTGGCCCTCTCTGTCCTTTTAATTATCATTATTACAAATATACCGTCTGCTCTTCCAGGTAGAAAACTCAGAAAATAAAAATAAAAGCCTAATGAAGAAAAAAAATTATTTCCTATGTTATAGTCTTTTTTTCTGTGCATCTAATTGTAGTATTTTTACATAATTGGTATCATTTGGAATATGTATAATTTTGTCTCTTACCATTCATCATATGTAATATCAATGTCTAGCTAGTATATTTCTATAATATCCTGGTTACATATTTATATTGGCTGCATAGTAGTCCACCTGTAGGCATACTAAATTTACCTAGCTCTTCCATACTTGAGTCATTGAGGTTACTTGAGAAATTATCCCTCTGGGAGTTGAAGGCATAGCTCAGTGGCAAGTGTGAGGCCATGACTTAGATCCCCATTTCTGTAGATGGAAGAAAGGAGGGAGAGAGAAAGAAAAAAGGAGGAAGGAAAGGGAAGAAGGAAGGATCAATTTTAATACAGCGTGGCCATAAATATCTTTCTTACCCAGCCTGCCTTTGACTGTCCCTCAAGGACCAGTTCCCACCTGCAGAATGACAGTTGGGGAATGAAACTCCTTTCGAAGGTGTATAACTCTGTTCTGTCACATTGCTCTCCACACGGGGTGTTTATTTTGGGGCCCCCTGCAGCGGGATATCAAGTTCACCAGATGTACTTATTCATGGAAGCAGCAATGAGCTGACTGCTCACATTGAAGGGGACCACAACTCAAGGAAAGAGGGGCAAAATCCTGAGTGTAGTTTCCCAGGGTTCTCCACCCAGTTCTTCTGTCTTTCAACCAGCTGGGGGACTTTCACCAAAGACATTGCCCCCCTTTTGAGCCAAAATTTCTTCAAGGGGAAAAGGAAAACCCTTCGCTGATGTGGGTGTCCCTTCCTCACCAACGCCCTGTGGTCCTATGGAGAAAGCATGTGTCTTTGCTAATGCTGTGTCTCTCTCAACAGACATCATGGTTGACATGCCGGATGAACAGTCCATTGTGACTTATGTGGCCCAGTTTCTAGAACGCTTTCCGGAGTTGGAGCCCGTATGTTCCTTTCCCTTACCTTTAATTCACAAACTACCCATTTTCACTGGGTCCCCAGGGGACACAGCTGGGTCTTGGGCTGAGTCATTCTATGTGGTTGATGGCAACAAAGTGACCTTAAGTTCCTTGCCTTTTCTTATTTTAGTTTCTAAACTGCCTGTGACATGCATCAAGTTCTTTGGTGGGACTGAAAGCCAATCACATCTCACACATACCTCTTTCCATTCCAAACTTGATCAAGGTGACAGAAGACATTCCCTTGTCATCCAGACTTCACTCTTTAGATGCCCAGCTTTACCAGTACTCAAAACCGTAACAGATAATGACCATTCAAGAGCACGCTTATGGAGTATGTTTGTGGGAAGGGTGCGTTTTTTGTGGGGAGGGGTGCACTTTTGAGGCAGGATCTCATGTTATAGCCTCAGCTGACCTTGAGCATGCAGCAATTCTCCTGCCTCAGGCTCCTCACTCTGCAAATACAATTATATGCCACCATTCTCTGACCACCCCATTTACTTTTTAGAATCCCAGATTACACTTGAAGATAGGGTTAGGGTATGGATGGAAGTTGTCATGGTTTCACGGAACACACACGTGTTTATATAACCCTGAGACAGTTGTAACAATAAGAATAACAACCACAGCCTTTAGTGGATATAGCATGATGAAAATAATAATAAAAAAAACAGAGGCAGATATTGGGGTTCAAGCTGAAGATCAGAGAAGCAAAGCGGACAGCCAGCCACTAGCTCTTACTTCTACCTTAGCCTGAAGGGGCGACCTGGCTAGCTCCACGAATCCTCAGACTGTAATCCTGGTAGAGACCAAACCTCAGGCTGCTTCCTTTCCTTTTATACTTCTCAAATCCTGGGATTAAAGCCCTGTGATCCCAAATGCTGAGATCACCTTTGTGTGAGCTCTTTCTCTTTAGGACTGGATCGATTTCGTGTAGCTCAGTGTGGCCTTGATATCACAGAGATCCATCTGCTTGTCTCTTGAGTCCTGGGATTAAAGGTGTGTGCCTCCACTGCCTGGCTCTATGTCTAGCTAGTATGGCTGCTGGGATTAAAGGCCATTGTCTGGCCTCTATGGCTTGTGGCTAGCTTTGCTTTCTATACCCTCAAGCAAGCTCTAATGAATCATAAATGATATATCACCACAGATAGACGCCGTCTTCCACTTACTGAATATCTAGTACCAGCTCAGGGAACTCGGGAAGAAACTGGACTGGACCTGGTCATAGCTCAGTGCTACAGCATTGACTAGTACTCACAAAACCTGGGTTTGATCTCCGGTTATGCGAAACTTAATTAAAAAAAAAAAAAAAACCAGGACAAAATTCAGCTGGACAGATGAGGTGCCTAACATGATACAACATTAACACGTCAGTAGATGCATCCCAATTCCTAGCAGATTTAAGTGATTTGTAGAAAAAAATACATGCAGAAATAAAGAATGTTAGGGGACAGGGACCCTCTTGTAGCTAGAGACGGTGTCTGCAGCTGTCATTCCTACAATCCTGTGTGGTTCACCACCATTGTCCTCTTATTGCAGATGAGAATGTCACTGCCCAAAGAGACTTTAAGGTCTCTCCAGGGTCACACGTCCATCTAACATAGGACTGTGGCTGACTCCAGAGCTCTGTGTTTTCAAAGTTCATGTTCTTGGCTCTCTTAAAAATACCACTGAGACTGGAGCCTTATTTTATATGGCAGTGACTCCCAGGAACCCTCTGAGCTGTGTGCTAGATTAGTGCCTGACCCAAGTATGTGGTTTCTACTCCTTCTAGCCCCACGGTATTTTTTAAAAAGGAGTTTCTGGGTTGCTGCTTGAAGCCCTGTGACCCCAAGCTGGTTCCTTGGCCTCGCTGACATCTGCACTATATTTCCCCCTAAAGTGGAAAGCATCACCCACACTTCAGGCTTGTGTGAAAAGTACCCACCTGTGTGATGAACCCGGTTTTGCTTGTGGCTCAGAATGAACATTGAGCAAGAGGTGGTGGCAATAATTGCTGTAGGATTCCATTTTGGAGATAGTAGGTAGCAGGGTTTCACTAGGCCTGAGCTCCTAATCCAGAGGCAGAATCTAAAAACAGCGGAAACAGTGGTCATGAACCTTCCTAATGCTGCGACCCTTCAACACAGTTCCTCATGTCACAGTGGACACGAGGCCATACAGTTATTTTTGTTGCTACTCCGTAGCTGTAATTTTGCTATTGTTATGAATCATAGTAACATAGATATTTTTTGGAGACAGAGGTTTTCCAAAAGGGGTTGTGACCCACAGGTTGAGAACCACTGAATTAAAAGTTGATGGTACATGGTATGATTCAAGGTCACGGTCAAGATTCAGCAAACCTAGGTGTGGCTTCTCTAGGACTGGGAGTAGAGAGGTTGAGAAGGACATGACGGCTGGAGCAAGGGTTTTGGTTCATGCAGAACAGCCTGTTTCATACTGGGGTGTGTGCGATACATTCTTTTGTGTAATTGATTTTGCTTTCTTAGTCTTTAATATTGTTGTGGTTTTTTGTTTGTTTGTTTGTTTGTTTTTTGCTTTAAGTCGTCAGTAGGAGTAGGCTTTTAAAGGAAACTATATTTTGTTGCCATTATTTTTGTTGTTGTATACATTGTAGGGGAGGGCCAGGAGTGTGTGCATGTAGGGTGAGCATATGGAGATCAGGGACAGTTTGTGGGAGCAGATGGGACTGAGGACCTCAGGCTTACCTGGCAAGTGCCTTACCCTCTGAGAGAGCTTTCTATCTCTCTTCAGGTTCAGGCATCTGTGATCATTTCCTATAAGGATGTCTTTTGTATTTTTTGCCGTGTAGATTGGTTATTCTACAGTCTTCCTTAGGTAATTCTAACTCTGAGTAATAGGTGGGTCTACTTTTGGTGATTGTTGCTTCCCTTGTTTATAGGCTTCATTCTCCTGCTTCCTCATTTCCAATTTTGTTTTCTTTCATGGCAGGGACAGTATACAAAATAAGACTAGCAACTGAGGTAGATGGCTTTCTTTTTCTATGTTGATCTGTCTTTTATTGCTACAACAAGATACCGGATGCTAGATAATGTATAAAGAAGAGAGGTTTGGGGCTGGGGAGATGGCTCAGCAGTTAAAAGCACTTGCTGCTCTTACAAAGGACCCAAGTTCAGTTCCCAGTGCCCCCATTGGCACCCAACCATCTACAGCCAGTTCCAGAGTGGGGCCTGTCACCCTCTTCTGCCTTTGTAGGCAGCTGGCACACACACGGTTGACATATAGGCAAACAAAATACACATAAAGTTGTACTTGAAGGTGGAACCTATAATTTCATGTTGTCTCATGTTTCCCAGCAGGAAGAGTTTGTGAATCTAGACAGAGAAGCCCCCATCGAGTCCACCTTTGTCCGAATCAAAGAAAGCCCTTCTGAACAGGAGAGCCGAGTCCTCCTCCTCAGTGAGAATGGGGAGCGGGCCTACACTGTCAATCATGAAACCAGCCACCCGCCACCTGCCAAAGTCTTTGTCTGTGATGAGCCTGAGAATGAGAAGGGCTTCTGTCTGGGTACTGTGCCCAGCCACAAGCTGTCGGATAGCGCCACTGAGATCATGCACCAGATCATTGACCAAGTCCTCCAGGGGAGCCCAGGGAGAACTGGACCCACCAACGAGCCAGCTCCAGAATCCTCCATCTTATCAACCAGAAAGGATGGCCGGAGGTCCAACTCTTTGCCAATTAAAAAATCCGTCCACTTTGAGGCTGACTTGCACAGGGACGCCTCGTGTAGCAAAGACCCTTTCTACAGCTCAGACTTCCGCTTTGAGGGGAGCCCAAAAGTGGCAAAGGAGCTGTCAAAGCAGGATGTCCCTGTCTCATTGGTTGAGGTTGCCAAGGAAAAGAAGACAGAACAGGAAGCCAGGCCAACTGCCTCAGAGAAAGGCCCTGGAGACATTGTTGGCGTGGATGGCATGCCCTATCATGGTCAGCCTCCACAGGACCCCTCATTCTGTAATGGCACTGTAGAGAGTCTGGCTAGCCACGGTGAGAAAGGCCCTTCTCCGCCATCCCCTGGAGTTCATACTATCCTGGCCACCTCCACTGAGCTCAAGGTTCCACTGCTGACTGTTGAGCCTATGGATAAAGATGACTATTTTGAAGGCATCCCACTGAAGGCTTCCAAGTTCAACAGGGACCTCGCAGATTTTGCCTCCACCAGCCAGGCTTGTGGTGAGGATACATCAACCCATGAGAAGACACCTGGGGAGGAAGAGGGTTTTGAGAATTATGCTGAGAAACTGGGGAAAAGGAAGTCAAAGTCTCCCCACGCAGAGACAGAGGCACCTGAATCCCAAGAGGAGCCTGACAGCCACGAGCCTCCTCCCAAGGGCCCCGAACAAGAAGATCCAGAGCATCCTTTGCCCCCGGAAGAAACACCAGCAGATAAGAAACCCGAAGTATATGAAAAGGCCAAGAGGAAGTCCACCCGGCACCGCAGCGAGGAAGGAGAAGCAGAAGGCCTCTCTGGAGTCAGCGGAGAAATGCCATCCAACCCCCCGAGTACCAGCGTCAGCCTGGAAACCCTCAGGAGTCACAGCGAGGAAGGGCTGGACTTCAAGCCTTCTCCACCACTCTCAAAGATCTCCGTCATCCCCCACGATCTGTTCTATTACCCACACTACGAGGTGCCCCTGGCCGCCGTGCTGGAGGCTTATGCGGAAGGTGGGGAGGATTTGAAAGGCGAAGACATAGAACTCGAGGAGGTAGAAGAAGGCTTTCTGCAGGACTCCAGGGAGGAGGAGGAGGAGGAGGCCCACAGCTCCCAAAGCAGCTGCAGTTTCTCCTTGCCCGTCGACAACGGCCAGCCCAGCGTCGGTGACCAGGAGTCCCATGTTGATGGGAATTCTGAGGGGCCCACAACAGCCTCAGGACCTGGTTCCCCATCCTCCCACGAGAACCACCAACAGAGGGAAACCAAAGAGAATGGCCCTGTGGAGAGCCAGCAGGTACTTGAGGTTTAGGAGCTCAGAGCTTCTCCCTCTGTAAACCTCCCCTTAGGGAACCCATAAGGCATAGAATTTAATGTCCTTCCGGGAGGCTCCGCCAAGTACTGGGTTGACACATACCCAAATGGGAACCACTCCTAAAAGTTTGCACCCAGGCACCCTGCTGTTCTTATTCCAGTCCACACCCTACTCAGAGGGCTTCTAGAGGGTGACTGAGATTGTGTGTGAGGGCCCAGCAGTGTAGCAGGTGATCATTTGAAAGTGAACTATCAGGTCATCTCCTATGGCCACCCAGGGAGCAGGGCAAACTCACGTTGGTTTCCAGCACGATTCTTAGAAGCCTTGGCAGTGTCAGGCCCTGTTCTTGGTCTCTGTGACTTGCTATGGATTGTGTAGACAGGAAGGGGGAACACTCGTTCTAAGCTCAGCAGCTGAGTGGACACTTGTCAGCCTCTTGAATTCCTACTCTATCCAGCTAGTGACTCAAGGAGGGTACAAGAGGGGACAGGTGCACAGAGCCATGGCCTGAGGCCCCAGGGAGCCCTGGGAATCTTGGAGGTGTGTGTGTGTGTGTGTGTGTGTGTGTGTGTGTGTGTGTGTGTCTGTGTGTGTCTGTGTGTGTGTCTGTGTGTGTGTGCAAGCCCTGCAGGGTTGCAGGGACAGGTGAGAGGAGGGAGCCGGTACTCAGCTCCAGCAGCTCACTAGCCTGCCAGCTCAGCGGGGGTTCTCAGCCTGTAGGTCGGGACCCCTTTAAGAGCCAAAGGACCCTTTCACAGGGTTGTCTGTCAGATATCCTGCGGATCATATATTTACACTACAATTCATAACAATAGCAAAATCACAGGTATGAAGTAGCAATAAAATAGTTGTATGGTCGGGGTTCACCACAACAGGAGGAACTGTATTAAGGGGTCACAGTGTTAGCAAGGTTGAGAAGCACTGGCTCAGCCCTTTGGAAGGAGCATCATGACCAGTGTCACAGCACAGTGAGGGAGAAGGCAGTGTGTCACAGTACTTTGCGCTGTTGACACAGAGAACATGGCATCCGATGTGGAGGGGACCCTGCAAGAGGTTCTGCAGAGGGAAATTCCTCAGACCCGGAGAGGCTGGAGGGTGTGGGAGAGCCACTCCGTGGGAGACATTCCCTGAGTGCCAGAGTCAGGCTAGGAACGGAGCCAGCTTATTCCAGATCAGCTCCATCTCTTTCTTCCTCAGTGTTTCACCTCTCATTCCTCCCAGTTAGGTCCTGAGCTGCCCACAGAGGGGTGACCCTAGACCCCACGTGTCATCTCATCTCCCCACTACTCCTACTTCCTCCGCATGACCTTTGACCTCTTTTCTCTCCCACCTGACTGTCCACCCGTCCCTGCCTTCCTTCCAGAGAAGCCAGCTTCTCCTGGTTCCCAGGTAACCATGCCCTGGGTGGTCTTTCCCCACCCGACATTTAGCAAGTGGTCATTTACCCTTCAGAGCTCTGTACCAAGTCACCTCCTTCCGACTCCTGCCCTACCAGAGATCTTGCTGCCTTAGCTGGTGCCAACCACACTCTAGCAGTTCTTTCCCATTTCCATGGGTTTTCCCCCATCCCAAGAGTAAGTAGGCAGCTGAGTATTCATCCTTGGACCCTAGAGACCAGAGTGGTGCCTGGCAAGGCCTGCCAAATACAGGGGTCAAGTGCATATTGCTTTGAGAATGAGACAGGAAGACAAATGGGGAGACGTGGGTGGGCTCATGAGTGGTACTGGGGGTGCTAAACAAGCCTTACACTCTGGAGGGCTGCAGGCAGTCTGGGGAGCCCTCAGAGATGGCACACTACCATCATCAGAGCTTGCTGTGGTTCAGTTTGCCAATTGGGGACAATGGAGAGAATTGTCAGTCCTCAGCCACAGATGGCTACTTGGGACAGGGCAGGGAGCAATGTGCTCAACAGTTGTAAGGCAGATGGAGAAGAGGGCTGGTGGTTCCAGAGGTGCCAGACACAGCTGCCTCCTTCCCCTGGTGCTGAGAGCCACTCCATCCACACACTGCTTCGCATGGGATGTGGGCTGCTGGTGCTGCCCTGCAGTGTCTCCTGTGAGAAACTGACAGAAGCCAGCAGGGGTGGATATGGCCTTCAGTGAGATCAGATCTGATGTCTAAGCTGGTGATATGAAGGGCAAGGGAAATGTTTCTCCAGATAGCTAGGGGACAAAAAGCTACAAAGTGAAGAGTTGAGTAGGTGGATGCGAGCACAGTTGCATCCTGACCTTGGCCTTGGGCAAGCAGCCTATGGGATTGCAAGTCTGGACCTTCATTCTTGTCTGTCTGTCTGCTTGGTTGTGGCCTGCTCTTATGTCGGATTGCAAGTCTGGACCTTCATTCTTGTCTGTCTGTCTGCTTGGTTGTGACAGGCTCTTATGTACCCCAGGCTAGCCTCAAGCTCACTCTGTAGCCAAGAATGACCTTGAACTCCCATCCTCCTGTTTTCACCTCTCAATCCCACTGTGCCAGGCTTAGGTAGTGCTCGGGGTAGAACCCAGGGCTTCTTTCATGCTAGGAAAGCTCTCCACCAACAGAGCCACATCCCCAGTGCCTGGCCCTTCATTTTTATAGGCTTTCTGCCAGTAGTTGCTGAAATCAGCTCGAGCACCTACTATGTACAGAGTGTTAGATGGACAGTTGGGGTGGTTAGGGATGGTCGGGGCAGCCCTCGGTTGGAATTATGGTCATTCAGAAGACTGAGAATCTCATCCTGCCCCGAGTCTTCCTCACCAATAAGTGAGCAGAGGGGATCGGTTAGGGAGTGCTGATCAGGGTTCCTTCCCCAGCTCTGAGCACAGCCTCCCTGCATCCAGAAGGAGCGGTGTTGACACAGCTTACATTGTGGCTCTGACCCCTGACCTTGCTTGCTTGCTGCTTCCCACCCCACTTTGCATTTGGTTCCCAGTTGCAGCCCCTACTCCACCTTAGGGGTGTGCAGAGCCCATGGGGGTGGAGAGCCCTGAGTCTGTCTCCTACCAGACAAGGTGTGATGCCTGGTCCTCCTTTCAAAAAGAAAAGGAAAGACTACCTGAGCAAGCCAAAGACTGGGGAATGGCAAGTTTTTCTTGTTCTGATCATTACAAAAATAAACATAAATAAAATCCTCTTATCGTTTCCCCTCTAGGAAAGGTCTCTGCTCAACTGTGAAGGACACTGGTCTCCTGTGGCTAAGAGCACTTCCAGTTTCTACCTGGAGCTTTGTTCAGGGTAGCTGGCCTGGCCTCCACATCCCTTACCTGGCCCCTGTTGAGCCGGTTCTCCCTGCTGTTCCCGAACTTCTAGGTTTCTCTGGGGGCGTGGCTGATGGGTATCAGGTGCTCGGTATGATGACAGTGGCTAGATAGTAAGTACTAGATGTGGCCCTGTTGTCCCTTCCACCAAAGGCACAATGTCAGTGTCCTCGCACAGACTCTGCGTTTGCTTGTGCGTGTCCCTCTCCAGGCCCATAGCACACCTCTGCACTCGGCCACCTGGCTCAAGTGCCATTGTCTGCTGTAAGGGGTGATGTCCTTCCAAGGAATGTGCTGCAGAGGGAAGAGGGTGATGGTGATTGTACCCATTGGACAGCTGGGAAAGTGAGGCTCAAAGAGGAACCATCATGTAGCTTAAGGTCAAATAGCTGACTCGGGCAGGATTTCACATCACTGAGCTCCCTGACTCTAAAACTTGCTGCCTTCTCTCCATCAATTAACAGCCCTTGACTTCTGCACAAGGATCAGGAATTGGGGCAGGCTTCTCTCCTAGGCCATCCACATTGGAACAGAATTGGAAGGGACCCTGGCTGGATTGGAGTCCAGTCTAGGTAACGATGTCATCTCTTTCAAGTAGGGAATTTGACCTGTATTTCGGCTATTTTGTATTCTAGCCCCAAGAACCCCTAAACCCGGAACTCCCCACAAAGCCATTACAAGAAAAGTCAATGGGAGCCTCAACTAGCAGTAAAAAGAAAGAAAAAAGGAAACATGTGGACCAAGTAGAAAACTCATTATTTATAGCCCCTGGGACTGTCCGATCCTCAGATGACCTGGAAGAAAACCCCTGTGAACACAAGATCCCTTCCAGGTATGTCACTAAGATCTTCTGACTTTCGAAACTGAGCCAGGGGCTTACTCTCTAGGGGTGAGTGAGCATTTTGGATAGACAGTGCATCAGGGGAGGGTGCAAGCAAAGCCCAAGCCTTGGAGATGACGTGAGGAGAACAGACAAGGTGTGAGGTCTGATTGGCCACACCCTACACAGAGTCTGGTCACAGAACAGATAGCAGTTACCTCCCAGTTCCTGCTTCCCATCCCACTCAGGCACATTGTGGTTAAGGATGCTAAAGAATTGGTAGACCTAGTTAGCACAGGGAGCTCTGCAGCCTCATTGTAAGCAGGCAGCACTGAGGTGAGCTCGTTTGTGTTAGGGAGTCCTGGGGCCTCCACCTGCTGGCCTCGGGGTAAACAGAACTTCCAGGAGGTTGGCACCTGGCTCGTGGTTACAGGGCTGTTCTCTGGATGCCTCGCTGCTATAAATGCTTTTCTAGTCACAACTCAGCTGGACTCCCTACATCATTTTCCACTGAGCTAAAAAGAGGCCTAGGAACCCACAGGGCCCACTGATTATTCATGCTTATACTGCACACCTCTGGCCCTGTCTTTGTACCGTTGGTTGGGTTCATATTTTGCTTTAGGCTCCTTCAAACTGGAGGGCTGTCGCTTTGCCTTCAACTCCGCTCTCTGGATCACTCCAGCTCAGCCTCTGGGGAGCAACTCCATTATACCTCCTCCAAGCAGGTGTCTTGGGTTTCCCACAGATTATTTTTGATATGTTCTTGTATCATAACATCTGTTGCTTTCCTTTAAAATTTTTGGCAGCACTTTATTGCCTCATGCATGCTAGGCGAGCGAGCTAGGCTACCACAGAACTACTTCCCCATCCCTCTTTTGGCTTTTTATTTTGAGGAAGTTGCCTAGGCTGGTTTTGAACTCACTCTGTAGCCCAGGCAAAAACAAGGCTTGGAGTTCGCTTTAGCACAGCCCTGGCTTGCAGTGGGCACTCAGTTCTTTGGTAGGTGAGTACATGCATGGCTGTGCTTCCCCTGTCTTCTGGAGGTCAGAAGACACCTGGTTTCTGGGAGAGTGAAGGCCTGGGTTCACACTCACTATCAGGCTCACATTGGTAGACTGTAACGTGAAAAGACATGAGAGAAAGCTTGCTGCAGCGAAGCAGAGAGATCATCCCTTCCCCCCAGGAATGTGCTTTTTAATTAGGAAGTATTACCCACACATAAGGGCAGGAAGGGGTTCCACAGCCCCCAGCATTGCACCATGGAGGATCCGGTCACTAGGGACACTGCTGAGATCTAGGCCCCAGGGTTCCCTTTTGACTCTGAGGTTGCATTTTACTTCATGCCTGTGCTGTGGTAGCAACGAGGAGTACGTAGCACCACCTAGATTGAAAGATACCAAGGTTGCCTTACAGGGATTTTGTGAGAATATTCAGTTAGGCCCAGTGCCAGGCTCCTGGAAGCCATGTAGTGAGCTTGCTTAAAGGAAACTGAGATGACACTATTTTGGGTACGTAGCACCCACCAGATACCTAGTTCTGCCAGGCAGCAAGCCGGGACCCATGGCATCCTGAAGCAGGTGGAGTGGGCCATTCTGCAGAAGAGGGATGCCAGTTCCCAACTTAGCATTGACAACTCTCAGCCAGGAGCCACAGGTGATGGCCCAGGAGTCTTCTGCCTCCACTTCAAGGGTGTCAGCTCTGCTCAAAAGACTGAAGGGCATTCCACATCAGCCTCAAAGATGTGGCCATAAAAATCAGTCTCCTTAGTTATGAAAGACAAAATGGTGGTATCCCCTAGGGCTAGATTGGTAGAATGTAGCCACATAGCAAGGAACCCCAGAGAGAATGTCCAGCCTCCAGGCCTTGGGCCCAGCCCTGCCCTTAACCTGCAGGGGACTGCAGGATGCTTGTATATAAAGACCTCAGTTCTGTCCTGGATCCTAGAACTAGAAATGTGTGGTCTGCTTTCTATCAAAAATCCTGGTTTGCAATTTTTCTATAGATGAGGGTCAGATGTCTGTGGCCACACCTGGCTGTGTGTTTCAATAGCATGAATTGATAGATACAAACGGTCTCTGGTTCTGAAGCTATGGCTGTGCTGAACCCAACTCTGGAAGGCCCCAGGATGGGGTAACCTGGGTGACTGTGTGACTTGTGCCCCGGGCAATGCCCATTCACAACATATCTTTGCTTTTCAGGAATAGCCACAGTGACTCCAGCATTTACATTCGGCGACATGCTAATAGGTCTTTGGAATTGGTTAGTATGTGAATTTCTTCTTCCCTCTGGCCCCTGCTAATCAGTACCTTTCGGTCCATCCTCCTCCCTCTCCCAGCCCTGAGCTTTGGGATTACTGACCTGCACCAACCTTACACTGGGATAGAAGACAGACACACTTGAAACCTTGTTAAGCACAGTCCAGTTGGATATCCAGATGGGGCAAGAAGGGGTGTGAATAAAGCATTGATTTCAAAGCCCAAAGGCCTCTTTGTCATAAAAAAAAACAAAACAAAAAATGAACCCAAGACACTTCCCCAACCCGGCACCCATACCTAGAAAGATCACAAACTAAGGGTGCCCGGTCACTAGAAGAGCCTTGTGACATCTGCAAGGGCTGAGACCTGAGAATCTGTCTAGGTAGTGGGCGGGCCTCTCCCCAGTTACCCTCGGGCAGGGAGGCAAAGGGGGTGGGGAGGCAGGGCGGTATCTCTTGTTTAGCGATTTGATTTTTGAAACTAGATGTCTGCAGTATCGAGAAAAGCGTGGCATGGTCGGCTTTGTAAGCTTAAAATCACCTTGTTTTCTGTTTCAGAGATTTCATCTTTACTAATTGGGTTGCGGGGTTTTGTTTATAAATTTCACTGTAGGACCATTTTAGCTATGTTCAATTGAGGAACGCAGCCGATCTGGATGAGAGGAGAAACAGAGTGTTAAACAGGTTGGTGACTTCATTCCCTAAGTTTGTGGCATTTAAATATATATGTGCTAAATAAAAGTACGTCTATTTAAATGTGTGTGTGTGTGTGTGTGTGTGTGTGTGTGTGTGTGTACTACCTCATGGGGGCCGTTATTTTTTTTTAACTATGGTTTATTTACCATGTTTTTAATAATCTGGGAAAATACCAGGAAATGGCTCTTTCAAATGAAATTGGTGTAAATTGATGAGGGAAAAGTTAGATGTTCTTGGGTACCGGCAGAGGGGCAGTGCCGGCAGGGCTCAGAATGAGTGAGTGAGAAGAGGGTCCGGCTCTGAGTCTGCGGCTGTGTTTGATAGTTCAGTGGCCAGAGGTAGAGGTGTACGGTCCCGTCCTCTAGCATCTGACCCTGTGTCCCTTCTGTCCCACTGCAGGTACAATTCTCAGAAGCTCACTGAGCTGATTTTACAGTTTTACGGCATCAGAGCAGACATGAAGCGGGAATTCAAACATGCCAGGCTGTCTATGAAAGTATTCGTTACTGGTGGAGAACTAGATTGCTCTTGAGTAACCTTCCGTAAACCAGTCTACCTAGAACCCAAGGGGCGGGAACAGAATCTCTCTAGTTGTGATGCAGCCCTACCCCTCTTAAAGTCACAGATGTACTTTACCATATTGCCCACCCCTGTGGGTTTGCATGGGCTTGGAAGGATTTAGATGACGGGTTGGTAGTCTCTGCCCAATGCCCTGGGAACAGGGGTCTTAGATCTCCACTCTTTCAGCTCCTAAAAACAAATACAAGCAAGATGTCTGGCTTCCCACTCTGCCTAAAATAGAAATGCTAATTTCAGTTTTCCACCAAAGGAAGCATTCAGCTAGGGAGAGCATGCTTTTAGCCTTGATCAGGTAGGGCTCTCAAAGAAACAAGAACTTGACATATGCAGGCATGTTTCCTGCCTCCAGCAACAAATATGGTTTTTATATTCTTCCTACAGACAACTTTAAGCCAGAGAAATTCTGTCCAATGTCTGTTACGCAGACATAAATCACTCTATGGCAGATGTCACAGGCCACCCATCACTTGTTGGGAGATGGTTTGGGTTTCTCATAGCCCCCATCCAAGGGCTGGAAATGGCCCCGTAAGAAGCTCATATTTAGGACTTCTGTGTATCAGTCCAAACCCACCCCTCCTACCTTCCCCTTGGTATACTTGGGTCTGAGGTTTGGTTTTTACCACCACCCATACTCTCCTGTTAGCAGGGTTTATTACCTGCCAGGCAAAAGCAAAATGGCATGTTAAACACTGCCTCCCACCACATAAAAGAAAGGTAACTCTGACCCCAAATCAAAGCTAGCAGTTCTTCTGAAGGTAATATTTTCAAGACTAAACTTGGGGTGATTCTGTTTGTTTCTGGTGGATGCTTTGAAATCACCTGTCAAAGTTACTTTACTGAGACATAGCTGAGAGCTGGTAGACCTACCTCCTCCTTCTGAGGTGTCCCAGGAGATGTCACAAGTAATTGTGTGGCCTGTGACAACTGCTGCCCCACGATTGTCACTGCGGCCACCTGTGAAATGAGCCTGGGCAGCTCCTTCTGTTAAGGGTCATGGAGACAGCTGGGGTCTGTGTGGGTGTTCCATGCTCGTACTGCTTAGATGGACCCCTCCCTGGGGTGTACACACAGATGAGAACCTCCCGGTGTGTCATGGGAACCTTTATCAGCAGGTGGGCGTTGGGTTGAGGTTCGGAATGTGGTCCTCCCCACTAGGGACCCCACCAGTGACCATCCTGTCCCCACTCTTTCCCTCTGCAGGAATGGCACCAACTCCTCTGGAGAAGCTGTGCCCCTGGGGAGCCAGAGCCCAGCCAGCGATTCCCTGACACAGTTCGTCCAGCAGCCCGACGTGTTCTACTTCATCCTTTTCCTGTGGCTCCTGGTCTACTGCCTGCTGCTCTTCCCTCAGCTTGATGTCAGCCGGCTCTGAAATGTGTGTCTGGAGAATAAAAAGACAGGACCCTGACCAGGGTGGAGTCTGCCTCCTGCATCTTACTGTCTGTTCAGGGTCGAGCCACTTCTGCTGAGATGGAAGAGCTCAGAGGGAGCGCAGGCCCCACCTCCTGTTGCTGTCTGGTTCAGTCTTTGTTCACCTTTCCTCTTGATTCCCTAAGACCCGAGAGCATACTTACCTCCCTGATGTGTGCTCCGAGCTCAGGTTGGAGGCTGGGTCTGTGGAAAGGACTCGTTCGTATGTGCCTTGTTTGATCAGATTCGAGTCCTTACTAATGTGTACCCCAAACCCGGGTCTTAGCATGTGGACATGCAGGTTACTAAGCTCCTGGAGGAGCTTGAGTTACTTTTATCTCAGGGGAGGGTCTGCCTGATTTCAAGAACGAACAGAGTCCATACTAGGAAGAAAGGTTCCCTGTTCTCCTCTACATGTGAGTGTTTGAGTGGAGAACCTGTGGCTCCCATGAACCTGTCCTAGCCTGATGACCCATTGTGTTCACTTGGGGTGTTCAACGGCACACACCTGCCTGCTCCCCAGAAATTACAACTGGGTATCGGCAGACTCCAAAGAAGAGGGGGCTCTGCCAGCCTTGTTGGGAGCCACGGCACATTCTTGTGCCTTGGTGTTCTTGGAGGGTTGTGTTTTTAATTCATTTTTGTGTTGATTGGATCGAGGTAGAGCTGCACTTTTCAAATATTTTTCCGTCAGATGAAAGAGGAGAAAGGGGCTAGTCTAGATTTGCATTAAAAGTTCTCTGGCTGGCTCTGATAGCCCTGAGACTCCCTCCCATCCTGCTGAATTTTCTGTACAGAATCTGAAGTCCTTATGGGGGGCAGCTTGAAGAGTCGGGGTCCTGGAAGTGGCTGGGTCAGTATAAGATCCCACAAGTGGTGGAAGCGTTTCTGCAGGATTCTGGGCTCAGGATGCACACCTTGTCCCCAGAATCCTTTGTGGCCACTGTAACAGAGATCTTAAAAAGGATTTCTGGAAAGTGCCAGGCTGTAGACCAGGCCAGGCAGCTTGGGAGGAGAACGGCTTCTTTCCTCACCCTCCTGTTGTCCTCAGCTCCCTCCCCAGCATCCTCTGCCCTCTGTTCTGCAAAGGTCTGGGAAGATTCTAGGTTCCTCTTCTCCGTCATCCCTCTCAAAAACCACAAACTAGGCAGCCCTTATAAAACAGTAAACTGAGCCAGGAAGTGGTGGCGCACACCTTTAATTCCAGCACTTGGGAGGCAGAGGCAGATGGATCTCTGAGTCTGAGGCCAGCCAGGGCTATGCAGGGAAACCTGTCTTGAAAAAACAGAAACAAACTAACAAAGAAAAAACCCATAAACTGTTAGTGAGGAAGGGACCTCAGGGAACATCTTGCTTAGCTGAACTCAGAAAGCCAGAGCAGGCTGTCTAAGGTCACACAGCCCAGCAGAAACAGACTGGCGAAGAGTTCCCAGGCCTTGTGATCCTCAAGGCCATATGACCCCAGTCCAGAACTATCCCTCTTTTGTAGAAAACTTCCAGCCAGGTAAACAAATGTCCTGAAAAAACTAAGTAAAATGTACTCACTTAAACAAAGTCATCAGTTTTAGACCTTTTATTTTACCTTCAAGCTTATCCTTAGCTCCTTCTAGAATGTGAAGGCTTGTATACTGCTTACTTCTCTTGTTGCTGAGACAAAAACCACTGAATGGGTGCAGATCGGGGATCACAGTTCCAGGGTGACTATCCGTGATAAAGGGGGAGTCATAGCAGCAGGGCCGCGAGGTGGCTGGTCACCTTGTGTTCCCAGTCAGGGAGCAGAGTGATGGATGCTGGTGCTCAGCCCACTTTCTCCTTTTTGTTCAGTTTGGGACCCCAGACCATGGCATGATGCTGCACACATTCAGGGTGGGCCTTGTCTCTTTAGTTAAGACTTTCTGGAAAGACCTTCTGCTTCACATCCTGAGGTGTGTTTCCATGGTGATAACTAAAAGCCATCATCAAATCGACAATGGAGATGGAACATCCCATCTTGTGTTTGACATGTGAGCATTGTTCTTAGTATGGGAGTCATTCTCCTTAAGCAAGCCAAAGACTTGCTTTTTTTTTAAACACAATTAAAACGGTTTTGAGTCACAACAACCAAAAAAACCTGACCTCTCAACCATTTTGATAGGCATCTGCCTCCCCTCCCAGAAAGAACTGGGGCTTTCCAAGGGGGAAAGCTTTCGGGAGCTCGGGACAATTCCAGGTTGAAGGCCTGAAGCTCAATAGAAGAACTGCTTAATGAGAAGTTTATTTTATGGGACTAGACTTTGGTCAGAAGTCCCTGCTCTCTGCTTCTCTGACCTTCTACAGGCAAGATGCTCAAGAGCCATTGGGTCCAGGCTGGCAGGAAGCTGACTTTGTTTTAAGGGGGAAAAACAATCTCATGTAGGGGTATATAGAAGAGACTGGATATGGGAACTGGGCAAGCCATCCAACACCTTGACATCTTTTTTAAAAGATTTATTTTTGAATTGTGTGTGTGTGTGTGTGTGTGTGTGTGTGTGTGTGTGTGTGGTGCGCATGTATATATGAGGGCAGGTTCCCATGGGGACCCTAAGAAGGTATCACAGATCCCCTATGTGAGGCTGAGCACTGAATCGGGGTCCTCTGCAAGAACAGTGCACCCATCATGCCACGCCATGGACCGGCCTTGCTTAGCAACTGTTAAGTAAGAAAACGCTGTATGTTTGACATGAGGACAGCTGCCCCTGAGGCTCGCTTGTGGCGGTAGCCCCTTTCCTCACTTCCAGCCGGTTCTTCTAATATTTCTGTGTGATGTATAACAGGCTTGCTGATGGGAAATCCCCTCTCACCGGTGCCATACAGGGTTTCCCCAATATGGTTAGATCACGTGCATCCCTATTTTGTGACAATGCTGTCTTAGGCATGTGGGGACTGTACTTCTGAGCTAAGTTGTGGACTGTGTCACACATCCTTCTCGTTATTCCCCCTTCTTTCCTTCTTTTCCTTCTATGTTCCCTCTCGTCCCCCTCTATCTATTCTTCACTAAATTCTCAAGGAGTAGAATGTGAGAAATAAGTGTAAATTTTTTAGATGTTTTTTCATGACTTAAAGTGTCTGTTTTCTGCCCTTACCATGTGGCCGGGCATAGATCCGCAGGTGGGAATGGTGCCCTGGTGTAAAAACTTGCTCCCTGTTCTCTGGGTTTTGTTGCATAGCATCCTGATCTTGGTTAAGGGGTGCAGGTCTTCTCTGTGGCCAATGCAAGTATCTGGGGCATCGCCTACTCTCAGAATTGCCTTTGTTTCTTCTAAGTTCCATTTCTCTTGGCTGGTCCAGTCCCCACCTCTCACATTATGAATAATTACTTGTGTCTATTCGTGTCTAATGGTGATGCGTCCAGGAGCTGTCAGGAAGCTCTGATGACTGTCTGGTAGGACCCTGTCTAGTGTCACCCAGTGGTCTGGCTTAACTGTGGAGAGCCTACCATATCAGGAGTTGCATGTTTCTTCTGGGGTTTATCCCGTTTTCCATCACTCCTGCACAGAGAAGAGGAACACACACAGGGCTGCTGTCAGCCCATGCAGTCTGCTTGTGCAGTATCAGTAATCCTGTCCCTTCTGGGCAGAAGCCACTCACCATACATGCTTGGTTTAATTGGCAGAGGACCCCTGTTTTCTCTTTCTCTGAGCAGATACAGTCCTCAGCTAGGACAAAGGCTGGGTTTTAACTCGCACGTGTCCCTTGGCCAAGTACACAAACCATAGAATGGGACCCACAGACCCCTGAGTACTGAGTTCTGGCCTTGAAGAAGGCAGCCTCAGTAATCACCACGTAACTTCCTAAAGATGCTCCTGACTTGCTTAGTCTTGTGTCCCTGAGTTTTCTTCTCTTGTTCTCTATGAGTAGGAGGCAAAACCATCATCTGGCTGCATGGGAGGAAGGAGCAGAAGGCCCAAGAATTAGCACTGTGTCTTACCCTGCCTTCACCAGTCCAACTCGGAAGCCCTTCTTAGGTGCCAGAGTGGGAGTCTCCTCAGTTCTGCCCCCTGCAGGCACATAGTGTGAAGGCACTTTCCTGCTTCCTTCTTAGTGGGCTCCACTTTAGCTCTGAATGGGTGGTGTCTGTGGCCTTCTGTCTACCCTTTCCTGTCCATGGCTATAGAACTTTCTTTCTTTTGCACTTACTCCAACAGGTAGAATCAGAAAGCACGTATGTTCTATACTCTTAGTTTCATTGCTCTTTGTTCTTGTTTTTCAAGACAAGGTCTTACTAAATAGCCCAGGCTGGCCTTGAACTCTTGTTCCTCCTGCCCCATTCTCCTAAGGGCTAGGTTACAGGCATACACCACCGTGCTTGGCTTCAGTGTGCCATCTTGGTCCATAAATGTCTTTGAGTTTTCTAGCTGGTGGGTGAGGTGGCTCGTTGTCCTGCTGATGTCATTGTGAACTTGTCCTGAATGAATCCGCTGTAGCTATGAGACATCAAGGCCAGGAGAGCCTCGGGTAGCACACGAAAGCGCTGTTTGAAGGTCATGGCTGGGAGCATTCCTCCTTCTCCTTCTTTAATAGTTTTGCCACCTGCTCCCATGGAACACTTAGATCTTCAGAATCCTCACAAGATGCAGCCTGTGTGGTCACGTGGTTTCTGTACCCGTCACCTGACCCCGACTCCTGCGTAGGGAGCAGGTTGTCCACACTGGCATTTGTCAGACAACAGACAAGGGTCTCTACCACTTGGTGTTTGGAATTTGGGCAGGATTCCTGCTAAGCTTGTGGTTTTCTTCGCTGTTGGTGACAGAGTCTAGGGGCTCCTGGACAGATGTGACCTTAGTGGAGAAATGTGCTCCAACTTTCTCTCTGACCCAGGTCCTCCTGTTTGCCCACAGCTGGGCTCAGCCCAGGTCCAGCAGCACTCACCTGCACTGTAAACAATGGCGTTGAGATGGCAAGGATTCTCCAAGTCATAGTCTGTTTGGTGATTTGGGGGGACTGTGTGAAGGTCCAGCACC